AGAGAGAGAGAGAGAGAGACAGTAATCAACAGAGAGTCAGAGACAGAGAGTGAGAGAGAGAGAGAGAGGGAGGCTTGAAATCAAATTCGGTGCGGCTTCTGGCGGTGTACAAATTGATAGTTCAAGGAGTTGTTTAGTTCTCCGAATAATGCAAGCTTTAACGGTGTTGGGTTCCGAGTGCTTTGGACCGTCTCTAGCATACTCACGACACCCCGAAAAGTCCACCTTTCAACCCAAACCTCGGAACTGGAGCACAGCAACCACAAGAATCAAGCTAACCCGAAACATGCCTACAACCGGGCCTGGATAAAGCAGGAGCTCCGGAAACTTTGCAACAGCCTTCGGGCGAAATTGGGTTTTCGGACACAAGCAAAGCCCCTGACAGCTTTGGGGTGCAGAGAAACCACGAAGAAAAAATTCACAAGTGGTTCCACCTGGGTGTGTCTGAGTCTGCGCGAATATGGGGACCTCCGCCTATAGAGGATGCTAGATGCCCGGAATCAGGAATGCTGAAGCGTCTGTTCGAGGTCAGGCCCCCGCCCGCGCATCAGCTGCAAGTGTCCGCATCTGACGTGGGCGGCCCCGGCCGAGGTTCAGAGCCTTTCAACGGCATGAAGAGTCAATGAAGAGTAGTAGTTCAAGGCATTCTTCTGGGTCAACACTTGCGGCGTTGAAGCTTTGGACTTGGGGGGCTGCTCAGTTTCATGCTAGATTCTGCGAAAGACCGTGCGGACAGAGTAGATCTGCTCTTATGTTTACAACTGGCTCTCTTATGAGGCTCCGGAAAGGTGGTTGCTGTTCGCCTCCAACAAATTGTCTGCACAGGAGTATCAGGGTAAGTGTTTGGTAGTCAGGCAGCGAGATCCCAGTAGCTGATCGGCCAAATCGACGATGACGAGATGTCCAAATCCTGTTGAGACGCGTTTTGGCAGGCCAGGTGCTGCTTCGACGGCCAATCTCTTTCCAAGACAATCGGGTCGCACTGCAATCTCGGCATTCGCTGCTCTGTGATCACTCACTGTCATGAGCTGACTGTTCTTGACATGTCTGACCCCTCTTGGGGTCAATACTGAGTCAATACAGACTGAAGATAGCCGTCAGCCCCTCGCTGAAGGAATACCAGTCCAAGCAACGTGAGAAGCAGACAGTCCGAACCGGACGAAGGCAAAAGAAGCATGACGATCCTCGCCATGAGCATTAACGTTTACATGTTTAACAAACATCCAAGAACAAACTGGTCCTGGTTGCCGGCAAAGAGCCTCAATGCATCTGGCAAGAGGCTGCGAACCTGTCTTGCACCCTCGGAACTTTTGGATCAATAGCCAAGCACCCCACTAAAAACAACAATCCCAGGGTAGCTGCAACAGGGACCAACCTAATTCTCACCACTGTCCATCTTGAAACCACGGTCGAAGCCTTAGCAGGGACATAAGGAGGTTGCAAGTACAGGAACCTTCGGGCTCTCAACTACTAGCTACCTAGTTTCGTCAGTGATGTGTGGAGCGTTCTCGAGAGTCGGGAAGGCCTTGGTCGTCAGGGCGACAACGAAGGCAGCAGAGACATAGCCCAGTACGCAAAGAGTCCTTGGATGGCAAGACCCACGATTCCGAAGCCGGGATCCGTTCGAAGCACGAAATGCTGGAGAAAGAGAACATAAACTCGTTCAGGATAGAGTCTGCGAGAGCTCGTGTCACCGAAGCACCCTGCGCGACAAAGTCCGAACGTGGCGAAGCGCAACTGGCCGGGCCGAGCCGCTCACGGGGATCTTTGAGCCATGTCTGCTCTTTGATGCCGAACCTGGAAACCGTGTCCAGCCACTCCTCAGCTACAGAGCCCCTCCTTTCAGCACCCGAGGATCGAATTCATGGAAACTAGCCAACTAGTCTGTCTTAATGTTTCAGAGCTCCCTGAAGTAAGCCAACTTCGTTGCAATGCAAGGCTCGTGCCCGAAATAAGCACAGAATGCACATTCCGTGTCCGCGGGCTGCTCACCTGCTACTTGCTTGCAAACTGGACGTGTCGTCCACACAAAGAAATCATGGCTTCTGACCGGCTTGGGAATGCTAATGGAACAAGCAGTTGTCGAGTCGGACTCTGAGGGATTTGGAAAAGGCCTTGCTTCAGAAAGATCAGTGCTGAAATGAATGATCTTGTTAAGGCAGCACACGGAAGACTTGATGCTTGACGGCAAAACACTGTTAGACGCAAGCGGGCCAAGCCATCCGGCGAGCGGCCCAATGAGCTCAGGTTGAAACTGCTTACCTAGGTTGCTGACTCTCTCGGAAGTGCGCCTGGTTCGACCTATAGCTCCACAACTGCTTACGACACAACACTCTAGGTCCACGGTAGGTAGCTCCCATCAAGACAGGGAGGTTGCCTTCTCAACCTTTACGGCCCGGTTACTGCCACCGGGACGCTATGTCAGTGGCCAGTGCCGTCAACTTTCTATCCAGCTTCGCCTTTGAAGCAAGCAGCCATGAGGGACCCTCCAACCCTCGACTTGCGAGCGACTACACATGTCTTGCTGATAGCTCCGGCTGCATGATCGGCAGCAGGATGCGCACCCTGCACTGTTGCATTACACTGCGTATCAAGGCGAACAAGCAGAAGGCCACCACTGCCCTAAATTCTGGAATATTTAGTTGGTCTCTCCTCAGCTGCTTATCGGGAAACCACGACTTCCAGAAAACGACCTCAGTGTCTTGGGCTCAGTCCGTCTGGTGCAGCGTCTCAACTTTGTGGTGTTGCAGCAAAAGCGAGAGCCTCATCTGGGAGTGGTTCTTCAAATGTTACAGGTCGCGGTCTGTTTCACAGGGTAAGGCTTCATGCTTCGACGTGCTTGTGTGTCAGTTTCTGACATGATGGGGTAGGATGTTTATGCGGCCAGAAAGACCAACACAAAGCACTTTGCGGGTGCCATGTTTGGTGCTTCAATTGGCAGTACAACATGAAGGCAAGCGAATCGATCAGACCTGCATAGCCTTTTCGCCCAAATCCCGATGTTTGGAATTTGCCCGAACGGCATGTAATTGCCAGAAGCCAAAGATGCTCAAAGCACAACCCTCAATCCAACAAGTATAGCAACTTTCCGCGCAGACGAGAAGCATCTTCCATGTAGCCCTGTGCACCCCATGCTCACAGTTTAGAATCTCCAGAACCGTTGTGCGCAAATCGCCGAACCTGGGCTCCACCACGATAGGAACGTAAGCCACAAGCGTATTGCTTAGACTTGGAACCAGCCCTCACCCACACTCAAAACCACAGGCGAATCAACATAGTGACGAGAGTGGCCTGCTCGAAGTGATTAGGCAACTTGTTGCTCCAAGGTGCATGTAAGAAAAACCTAGGAAATCACAACACAAGCGATTCTGCCGCCACAAGGTCCTGTCGTTTTCTAGTGTTGCCGCCTCTGCAGGCGGCTTTATTATATGCACTGATCAGACCATCAAGTTACGTGTGATTAAGAGCGTGCGATGCAGGATGATAGATCAGGTTTTGCGGACTGAGGACCGGCGATCGAAGAAATCTTAACAAGAAAAGTGCAATATAGAAACAGGATGACATCGATCTCTCGACGTCTCTTGACGATGCCAGAAGCAAGATCAGGAGAGAAAAGATCAGATGGGGAGAACGGAGAGCGAAAACTGGGCCAAAAAAACAACCACAACGACCACAACACAACACCGCACCGGCAGCAGAAGCAGCGGCAGAGCCGCAACGACTGCCACACAGGGAATAGGTGTCCCATGAGAATTCGAGGACTGGCACAACAACGAGAATTTCAAGGTGCCGTGCCCAGGCTTGGCGACACCGAGCTTAAAGTAGACTACCAACCCGGTCGCGAGAAGGCCGGAATGCCTTCTTTCGCGAAGGCCATGTGCCAAGCTGCCAAAAGCCTACAGTAGATTAGAGGATGAGACGCATACACATTGCCCAACTTGGCCAACATCTTCACACCCTACACTTCACCTTTCGTCCACGGGAGTGACAGCCATTCAGACGACCGAGATCGAGGGACTTCCCAAATGGGCGATTCGAAGCCAAGTTGAAGATAGAGATGCTTGGCTGTGGTCCAGCATTGTCCAGGTTTCGCTGAAAGGACGGCGAAAGAAAGTAAGTCCACCGACAAGAAATTTCCACACATTGATGTAGGACTTCGGACAGTGCCAAACCAAAAAGAGCAAAAGGACAAATCTGAAGTGCGCGCCAGCTGCTGATACACTGCCAAGGTATCCTGAATTCCGGCCCGCGCCACCTGCTTCATAATGACCATCATTCAAGGGCTTGGGTTTAGGATTCAGTGTCAAGGATAAATCGCAAGCGGTGCTATTTCTACTCCAGACTGCCTCTGTCACATTCTCAAACACGCAAACAATCGACACCGCGGCTCCGAGCCTTTGAGCTCATCTCACGGAACGACGAAGCTTCAAGAATTCCTTTTGAACAGCTTGGTGCAAGTTGGCTGCATGCGCTTTCAAGCCTCTTGGTGATATAGCACGCATGTTAGATACGACTGACGGCGGCTGGTTTCGGCTGATTGCGAGGTGGCCAACGTGTGCCCCAGAGCGGGCCATGCAACGAACATGAGCTCGAATTGCCACCACAGCCCACCACAGCTGTTTGAAACTTAACCAGCGCAGCCAGAATCCAATACTGTTAGCTATGTTGAACTGCGTTGTCTGTGTTTGGCGATGGTTATGCCGGGCCTACCATGGTTCTTGTCTCTCGATCGCGGCACGCTGCTTGAGTTCTCATTGAACTGCCTGTTTGCTCTCTGATCAGTGCAATCGGGGCTCTCATCGCTCTCACTCTTGTATACGACTGCTGTCGCCACGATCTTTCTAAGACATTAACATGTTCATAAATATTCATACTGCTGTGCGGTTTCACCTGTGTCGGCCATGTCCCCTTCGCTGCTCCCATCTTTCTCAGCTTCGTTTCATCAACATGCGCACCACCATCCTGATCATCATGGTATTGATCATCAGGCTGTTGCTGGTCAGCATCATCATATGATGGTTCGCCGTCGCCATCACCACCATGACACTATCTGACATCTTGGATAATCACATCAGCGTTTGTCCACATCATCTGCGTCATATGCACCATGCGATGACAGCAACAACTTCACACGTCTAAAATTATCCGCTGTATCACCCCAGGCAAGCACCGTTGTCGTCATCATCACCATCTTCGCAACCACTGCACTATCACCAGCGACATTTCACTATCAATATCAACAATGTCGTCATCAACATCATCAACAACATCGACTACCCATCATCATGATCATCATCATCATCATCATCCTTGTTATCGTCATCATCATCATCATTATCCGTGCCGTCATCTTCGTCGATATCACAGTCTTCACTCACCACTTCGTCACCGGCAAAACTCTGGCACCGTCCTTGTCACCATCCGCATCGCCTGTCTTCGATATCATGTTAGTCAGAAAACTCACTCTTCTTTTTCGGGTAGTGGAGAAGAGTTCACCCTGTGCAGAACCGCGCGCCTGTTAAGACTGTTGCCACCTTCACTCAACAGTCTGCGTCAGTTCCAGTACTTCGTTGCCACGGTCATAACTCACTATCAGACTCATCGTCGCCAACATCAAAAACATCATCATCATCATCATCGTCATCATCATCATCATCGTCATCATCATCAGCGTCATCATCATCAGCGTCATCATCATCATCACTGAAGTTGTGGACATTGTCACGGCTGACGCTTTCTTCGGTTTTGTAGAATACAAGGAATTCAACTGTTACATTCGTGATTTTGGCACCCTGGTTTTGCTAAAAATTAATGCTTTTCGTACATTGTTGTGCTTCGGCACGTACAAATCTTGGCCTTGCTGCCCAAAGCAAGCTAAAGGACCTCCGTTCGCGGCTGTAGGCGCCGGAAGACGCGGGAGCCCAGCGGGCATTTTTCCTGAAGGATCTCGGGACGATTCTCTTGAGAACTTGAACCGTCTTGGCGGTCGGCCGATTTGCTCTGGGCTTGGAGAGGGCTCCGTCATGCGCAAGGACAGCGACTTCAGAGTGCCGATACATCCTGCGACATTGTTGCAGGATGCATCAGCGCTCTGAAGTTCGATATTAACTAATACGAAAACTGCCACAAACGATTCTCGTCAGGTCTATCGCTAGTCCTTAGGCTCAAGACGTTCGACTCAGCTGTTTGGGTCACAAAGGTGGCAAGTCTCCAGTCCTTGAAGTCGTTCTCGCAGCAATCCTGACAGACAGTGCCCTGTTATTTGATTTTCCGATGACGATTAGGCATACCATGGCATTTAGTCAGAGGCTCATCGGCCACGTCATGCAGGATGTGCCTCAACAAATACAATTGCAGGCACTGCCCAAACCATGCACCTGCCACTCGTGTGGGACTCGTGGTTCCAGCAGGCTGTGTTCTCGGGTACCTCCTGGCATGAATTTCAGCACCGGCAAAGGAAGGTTTTGCTCAATCCGCAGCAACAGACAAAAGCAACAACTACAAAACGACAAAAAGATAAACTGAGAAGTCAACTCAATTGCTGACGATATGAACTGTTCTCTCCACTGGTTCTCGCGAGCCTTTCAGGGGCTTTGCGGGCTTGTGAACCTTTTGGAAACTTGTTGGGGGTATCTCTGGGGGAGTCCGAGGGCCTCTCTAAGAACTTCATGTTGAGCTCCGGGCACCTCTCCTGTGAGCCAATTGAGGGCCATCGGCGGCCTCTGTTTGAGCTTTTGGACCTTGTTGGGCCTGGGCATGTCTGCATTTCCTGATCACCGAGGCTCCGGCACAGCAACAGAACTCGTACTCCTCCCTGCTGACAAACGCACAAGGACCTGTTGGGTTTGCACATGCTGTCGCTTTTTGGATGCGTTCTCCGTATCAGCGAGAAGGATATAGCATTATGGTTTAGTGTTGTCAATCACTACTGCCCAGGTGAAATAGCAGAAGCTGTCACCAAATAACTTTGCGCTGCCACCAGAAGGCTTGAAAACAAAAGCGTTCTCGATTTGGCAAGAACATGTCTAAGTGATGACAGAACGAGGGCCGAATTGTTGGAAACCTTTCAAACTCCGTGGGAGGCAATACTCACGATTGCGAAGATGGTCGTTATTGTGACGTCGGTTTGCCAGGAACCTTATGCTGGCAGCTGAGCTGTCGTGGTTTGGGACTTGTAAAGTCACGGGTTGGTGGTGCAGGAGCTCCGCGAAAAATAATCCGGAGTGTGATGTGCCCTTGTGGAAGAAATTGTTGAGGCACCA